CCATATTGCTGGTTTCATACTACGTGCACATAATTGTGTCTTACTTTTAAAAAAATTAAGTATGATAAACACTTCTCAGTGCCATTATGTATACTTAATACAGATCATTTAAAATGAGTGGAAAAGTCTTTGGAAGCAGTCCTCCAGGGTAGATCATCTAGGTGGTTTCCAGTCTTTAACTAACACACAAATAAGGATGCTATTAAAAAACTAGAAGTCTATTGCTTTTTTGTTATTTGAAATTATTTCTTGAAAATAAATTCCCAGAAGTCATACAACTGGGTCCAAGGTCGTGTGCATTTTAAGGGTGATGACATTTTGTCAAATTGCTCTCCTAAAAGGGGGAGGGTATAACTCAACGGTAGAGCGCATGCTTAGTGTGCATGAGGTCCTGGGTTCAATCCTCAAAACTTCGGTTAAAATAAATAAACAAATAAACCTAATTACCTCCCCCCACCAACAAAACAAACAAACAAACAAAACTGCTCCCCTAAAGCTTGTCCACCAGAATTCTCTCACCCTTGCTGGTACTTACACTTTCTTTTCATCCTTCCTTATATGGCTGTTTATAGCCACGACAGAAAGAAATCACTACTAATTAGATGGATGCCAGTGCTATCTTGTTCCAAACTGCAGCTATCTGGTTACTGCTGAGATGCAACACTTTACCCATACAAATTGTAGTTCCTCTTTCACCATTTAGTAGTTTTGTAAAAAATCAACTTGTAGGAGGGCGTCTGTAATGAAGACTTTACTCCAGGTTGACTGTATGTGCTGCAAATAGGCGTCCCCAGAGTTGACTTCCTAAATCTTTGTTTTCTCCCAGGCACAAGCGGAGTCATGACTCCCCTCAGGATGACCCCTCGGCTGACTCACTTCCCTGAGGATTTCCAAAGCGGCTCATTCCAGCACCATCAAGATCCAGACTCCTGATGCTGACTGGCAGCCCAAGCATGTCCCCCAGGTCACCATTTTTCAGCCAGAGCCAGAGCCAGACCCAGACCCAGACACAAGACACACATCACAGCTGCTCTCTGGTAGCCAGGCCCTGCTACTATCTGCCGGGCACTATCTTTACAAAGGAGAGTCGGGAGTCGCCACTCTAAACCCCCAGCCTCTTGTGAGCCGGTTTTATGTACGAGATTAGAGCCTTTTAAGCTATCTTTCCCCTTAGAAAAGAACCCACATACTGTATAGCGCAGAAATATATACAAGATCTTGTGGTACTTCACAGCGAAAAAAAAATGTGACAATAAATATATGTATGTTCATGTATAACTGAAAAATTGTGCTCTACACTGGAATTTGACACAACATTGTAAAATGACTATAACTCAATAAAAAATGTGAAAATAAATAAATAAATAAAATAAACACACACACACATGAATAAACATCAAAAAAAAAAAATAAAGAACCCACAAGGGGAGAAAATACACAGCGAGATAGAGATCACCTAAAACAAATTTTGATTAAGCACTTATGCTTCTGCTACATTAAGAAAATGCCCCGGAAAATGATTTTAAGGATATGAGAATCGAATCTCTGAGTTTCTGGACCTCTGAGCTGGCCCAGTTTTGCCTCAGGGCCATCTCTGAGGGCCCTGCTACTCAAAGTGTGGTCCGAGCATCCGCACTGTCAACATGGCCTGGGGACTTGACAGACTTGCAGCCCTGGCCCCAGACCTACTGCATGAGTCTGCAGTCGACCAAGACCCCCCAGATAATCTGAAAGCTTGTTAAATTTGAGAGGCGCTCTCTTAAAGCAGTGGTTATCAGCTCTGCCTTGTACAATCGAATCTCCTGAGGAGCTTGAATACAATGTGGATGTCCGGGCCCCGCCTCAAAGAATCTGAGTCAGAGGGTCAGGACTGGGCACCAGACTTGTTTAGAAGCTCCCCAGAGCTTCTTTGTGCAGTCAGAGATGAGGACTGACACTAAAGTTTCTAAAACTTCCTTCTAACAAGGCAGAGTTGATAAAACTCTAAAATTTGAGGTCTTCAAATTCTATGCTTCTTAAATATTACAAATTATGATTAAACCCCAAAACCAGCTGGCTCCTGGAAAAGAAAACATTAAATACATATACACACATGCACACGCGCACACACTCACACACACGTTGGAAATGGCCATTTTCAAGAGCGACTAGATATCTCGAGATAAGAAAGTAAGCATCAAACCCACACAGAACAATCGAGGTCTTGCTGTTAAATGCGTCTCAGTATTGGCAATCCCCGTCTTGGTCGTGTTTTCATTCCCCAGCATTGGTCACACAGCAGCACGCTGAGATGACCCAATTTTGCGGTTGTTAAGATGGGCACAATGGCGGCACTGGCGCGGCCACCACCCGATCGATGTGTTCAGGCTACATAAATGCAGCTCTCTCTCCAGTGTTCCTGAGTCATTTCTTAAAGTGATGACCAGCCAGCTGGGTAGAAACACACTGTGATATCTGAATTCCAAGATGCTGCTGAATCTGACCTCTGGTTTTCTGTTTCCAGAAGACCAGTGGGCAGCCCCCATGACAAGAAGCATGGAGTTTACTGTTCTCTTTATAGAGACGCCGCCACGGGTGTGTCACAGCAGCTGGCTGGAACCCCGCCCTCACACAAAGCTTCCCGACCGCTAGGCCACCCTGGACTCAGCCGTGAGGCTGCCAGAAGCCGTAGGTGGTGGCCTGTAGCTGTGAACCAACTGTTTACCTTTGTGCCTTATAATTATGGCCCGTTTCCATGTCTCTTTGAAGGCAACAAAGTTGGGAAATCTTGCCTAAGGGCAGAGTTCTCAAACTTTGAGACCTTAATACACTTAAAAATTATGAGGACCCCAAAGAGGTTTTGTTTATGTTGGTTATATCCAGTGATGTGCTGGCATCACCTTGCACCAGCTCATGAGAATTCAGTATTCAGGAATTTTTCAAGCCAACTGTTCAACCGTTAGAAGCTTGAAACTGGCAACAGAGGGAATATTACACCACGGAAATCGGCAAATGCTATACGTCAGAGCCTTTTTTCTTTCTCTGGAGGTTAAGTTTAGCAGCAAACCCCTGATTATATTTACCATATTAAACATTAAAATGGAGAATTTTTGAAAAGATTTCTTTCATTAAAAATAAGAATAAACCAGGGGGGAGGGTATAGCTCTGCGGTAGAGTGCGTATTTAGCATGCACAGGTCCTCGGTTCAATCTCCAGTACCTCCATTTTTAAAAAAAGGAAGAAATAAATAAACCTAATTATCCCCCCAAAATAAAAATAAGAACCACACACATATATATACATATATACACACACACACACCCCCACACACACCAAATACGGTTTCCCATATTTGTCACAGAGAATTTTTCCCCCAAACAAGAACTTAATGGACAGTTGCCTTAGCCTTTATGTCTGCAAATCTCTTAATAGCTGGCTTAACAGGAGTCAGATTTTCGTTCTCTACTTCTGTGTTTAATTCGTTGTGCTATCACACGTCACCCAGCCTCCGGAAGACACAACTACGTGAATCAGACCAAAAAAGGGCAAACTCTCTTACTGTTTCAAGATGGTTCTGATCTCATACATCTCCGGAGAGGGTCTCAAGGGCTCTGAGACCCACTGAATTGGAGCATTTCTCCTCTCTACCTGATTGCAGCTTGCTTAACTGCACCTCCTTCATAAAACACACTCAGATTACCCCGTGGTTAATTGTTGTCCACATACGTTTGGTCTAGTCATTGTGAAAGGAATAGCCACACAGCAATGCCAGTTCTGCTAGGAAATTACTGTCGATGACTGTTTTCCCAGTTCATTTCCCTATGGCACCAAGGGGAAGAGAAGCCACTGTGGCAGGCTGAGGCCTCAGAAAAAGGCTTGGTCGTAAACACTGCTTCATTTTTTCCATCTACTCTCAGAGCTCAAGACTCCCTGAAGGACATGCCAAAATTTTTCTTAATTTTTTAAATTCGGAAGTTATAACCTAAAATTTTTCATGTGTATATTTAACAATCAAGCATTCCATTTCCTTTTAAAATCCTGTTTTTCACTTGGTGGAAAAAAAATCAAAATTTTTGTGTTAAGAGAATTCAAGTGTTTTTTTGATTTCAAATATATTTTGAAAAATAACAAGAGAAAAGCTTAAAGGTCACTTTCTGGTTAGAGTGGGGATCCTATTCCTAGTGGCCATATGCTGGGTTGACTTCATTCACTATTTCTCGTCTTGAAACACTGGAGAAAGTCCAGGCCTCAGAAACTTAGGCTTATGTATTAACTTTAAAATTCTGTGTGCTAACAGAATTCTTGTTTAATTGAAATAACGTCTCTATTGATTATGAATCTAAAAATACGTTACCAGAATTTTTTATTTTCATCTCTCAGAGGTAATTTTGCCTTTAATCCTCTTCCCCAGGGAGTGTTAGATGGCAAAGGACTGTCACTCAGGGGTAGCTCTTCCTTGAGTTTCAACATTTGTGTCTTCCTGGCTCAGACATTTGTTTCTCTCCTCACTAGGGAAAAGCTGCGGAGCCTAACCACGATGCTTATCACCCAGGAATCTGAACATTTTCTCACTGATAGAATCTTGAATTTTCCTAAGAAGGGATTAAAAAAAAAAAAACCCGAAAGACACAGAAACCTAACTACCCACTGCCTTTGGCAGAAATTGTGATTTTCCCCTCCATCTGTTCTTCCAGTTCCATTCTCCACACCCCAAGCAGCTAACCATCATGAACTACATCACCCAGGTTCCCCTGACCTCTGTGTGGTGGTTAAAATCAGGAGCAACAGGAGCCAAGAGATCAGAGGGTTGGGGGAGAGGAGGTCTGTATTCCTTCCCCCACCAGCTCGGAGCCTGGGGTGGTAACAGCTTCCCCTAATTGCTAGACCCTGGGGCGCATCACCAGTTCTAGTTGGTTCCCTTAACCCTGGCCACCCTTCTGCAAGTGCTCTTCAGCTAAATCCTTAAACTGGCCTTCCTGCTATGCTCTAAAGATACAATACAATTTTATTCCCAAAAGATACCAAGCAGACTTTCAGGTTTATTAATACAGGTTACATACATTTTTTAAAAAAGAATGTTAAAAACAGTGACGTAATATTTTGTAAGTACATACTGATAATATAGTAATGATAGTCTTATTAAGTCAGAGGTATTTTAATATAAAAGAATGAATAAACAGTGACAGTATATTTCCACTGAGTTGGATAAAATGAATACAGTAACTAAATTAATGCAATCAATGTTAGCTTCTACTTACAACACATACACAGATGTAAATTATTTCATGGCTGTTGGAAACAGTTTGCTCTTTTCAATAGGTAAGTATTTGCCTTTTTGTCTGTTTAAAATGCCAACATTTTTTCATAAGGAAAAAAGATCTATTTCAACCTAATTTTCAAATTATTTTGTCAAATACATGAGGGTATTCTGTACTTGATACTCATCATGGGGTTGAAAAATGCTTTTAAAATCATCTCATTAAATCTTAAGAAAAGTGGATGGGAAATACCGAGTAAGTTTCCTGGATTTCAAAGCCAACTCCATTTTCTTCTATCATTTCTAATCAGACTGATGTAATCGATTCGCCTTTAAAAATTTGATTTGAGCAATGTATTGATAAAGCATTTGTAAGTAAATAGTGTCCAATTAAGACAGATTTTCTTAAAAGTCCAATTAGGACTTATTTTTAAAAACACACTTCCTGTACTGTATTATGTTCTCAACTCAAGTTATAACCATAGGAAGCAGTAACCCAAATATTCAAACATCTTCACCTGCCAGGCCTTGATTATGTGCAACTTGCTTGGTGACATCTGGCTGAAAACACTTCTTTACATAATGACGTGTTTCCTTTACACGTATCACACTCTAAGCATCTATCTACTTTGTTCTTCTGAAGAGCAGGTTTCAGTTTCACTCAGCTCCACTCGCCCAGCACCCACCCGAGTGCCCAGGGCACAGGAGGGGTGTGTTTGCTGCAGGGGTGTTTCCATCTGAGAACGGTCTTTGTAGCATAACTCCTGGAAGTGAACAGGGCCTTCTTTCTCCATTCTTAAAACGGGCAGAGAAATCTTTTATAGTCATTATCTCTTGAGATAGCACATCCCACTTCGCCAGCTTCTAATGAGCATGATAAGTTCATGGCCAGCCTTTGAGGGAGTCCCAGGAGGAGACAGCGAACATGGTGGTCCTGATCCCTCTGCTCTCTGAACTGGCCCAGTCTTTCCCTACCGCTTGGAGTCCTCCATCCAGGGGCAGGTTGCTCTGAGAGCCAACCTAAGGTCACTGGTGAGACCTCTGCTCATTCTTGGTTTACACATATGGTGTGCAAAATAGGAAAATGCTACCCACAGCATTTGTTTTCATCTGTTTTAATATTTTTAGGTTTCAAACTTTGATATGTTTCAAATGAAAAACAGCAAAACTTCTACACACAGACAGGACTAAGTCTCAGCCCTCAATAACTTAAACATCGCTGTTGAACAATTTCAAAATACACTTATTTGCAAAAGCTATGTAAGTCCATACGACAGAACCCCTCACTATTGACGGACATCTGCAGAATTTCAGGGCTAAACTTCACCAAACTAAACTTTGCATATTAAATCAGAAAGCCAGAGTTTATTTCCATAATCTCTGGTGGAAAAAAAAGAGGGTTTCAAAGTGCCTATTCTATACTGCACTGCAAACAATACAAGTGTGTATACACACACACACACCTATAATAAGGCATCTAAATACATCAAAAAGCAACATTCAGTTCTTGTTGTAGCACTGGCAATGTTCTCTAGGAACATTCCTGTTATGTTTTCCTGTAACTAACAAATATATATGCTTAATGGCTCTAGTAAGGAGGCATGCAAATCATACATCCGCTGTTTTAGATGGTACAGTAAATACTTTTTTTGGCAGGGACTAAATAGAATCCTCAGGTTATTTGCTTTTTTCACCTTTTCTTTTTAAATCACTGTCGGTCCCTTTTCCTAAGTTAGCAGCTTCTTGTACATGCTGCTATTCAGGTTACTAGAGCAGGTATCCACTTTACTAGCCATCAACTGACCACTGCTGTTATAACTGCTGGGGTCCGAACTTTCTTTGCAGCATAAGATGCTGTAGAGGTACCTCTGGCACTCGGAGGAAGCATAATAGTAAATCAAGGGGTCAATGCAGCAGCTGATGCTGCTGACACAGACACAGAGGAGGTAGGCGAAGTAGGCAGCCTCCGTCATGGAGTTACGGGAAAGGAATGCATAATGGAGAATCAGAAGGATGTTGGTGGGTCCGAAGCAAATGATGAAGATGCAGAAAACGGCAGCCGACAAGAACAACGCCCGGGACTTCTTGGTCTGGTTGGCCACCGTGGAAGAGCTAAGACAGCGAATGATGGACACGTAACAGACTGTGGAAATGGTCAACGGCACGAAAAAGAAGACAGCAGAGAAGGCGGAGAAGTAATAGGCGTAGAAGCCCTCGAGCAGCGTTTCGTTGAGCACGTCGTGACACGTGGTGATGTTGAGCCCCGGCACCTGGCTGGTCTGCTCCTTGAGCAGCAGAGGCACCACTCCCGCGATGGCCATGGCCCAGATGGCCAGACACGTGAAGGAAGCCCGCCCCAGAGTACGCCAGGACAGCGACTGGATGGGATACACCACAGCCAGAAACCGGTCAATGCTGATGACCGTCATGAGCATGATGGAGGCATACATGTTACAGTAGAACGCTGCAGTGACGAAGCGACACATCGCAGACCCAAAACTCCAGTCACTTCCGGAAAAGTAGTAGCTGATCTTAAACGGGAGCACAGACACGAAGAGCACGTCTGCCGTGGCCAAGTGCAGCATGTACACCACGGCCGGCTTCTTGACCTTCATCTTCAAGACGAACACGACGATGGCCATGATGTTTAGAGGAAGGCTTACTACGAGCACGCCGGTGTAGACGGAGGGGATGAAGAGAGTCAGCCAGGCGCTGGTCAGATAGCCCGAGGCATCATTTGAGATGAACACGTGGGGTAATTTCTGAGGAGGATTGCTTTGATTGACGGAGCTTGATCTGCCTTCAGTGAACTCACTCTCATTTCTTTCCTCCTCATCCCTCAGTGGGATTGGTTCGAATCCACTGGGTAAATTCCTGAGAAAAAATGACCGGAGATGGAAAGTACTATTTGTTGCTTCTGGCTCTGAAAAACAAAATTAAAAACATGAATGAAAACGGCAAAAGGGACAAGGGGAGAGTACATTTGACTTTTGCTTTCTGTTCTCTTCCTAGGAGAGCAGATGGTAAAGAGCAGGAGATGTGCGAAGGATTACAGACTTTGTCAGGGGATTAGCTAACTCGGAGTTTTGTTTTGGCACAAGCAAACATTTTTCAAACTCTGCTCCCTGGAGGGACAGAGGTGAATGACATACTTTCCAAGTTCAACCCTGCAGACATCAGGACAGGCTGATGCAGAGGAAAAAAAAGCCGTGACGTCTTTTCTATACGAGCCACTGTCTCTATACACAAACCACTCCTAGGCTATTTGACGTCTCTGTCCTCCATAGGCCTTCATGCATACATTTTCTCCATTTAGTTTGTGGCCATCCCTTGAAACTCATCCTTCCCAGTGGAAAAACCCACATAGACAGTTGAGGGGACTTCATTTATGTTATAAAGCTAGAGGCAAAATCGTGTGGGACCAGGGGTCCCATTTCCATGACCATTATGCATGCGACAGGAGCTTTCCTTACTATTTTTAGAGTGTTTACACAGGAGAATGACCCAAATCTCTCATCATATTTGGGTCCAAACTGCAGTCCCTCTGGTTATCTTCTAAATATAACTGCTAGGTACCTACCACTTCAGTCATCTTCCTGTTCCTTCCCCAGCAGGTCAGTGGAGAAGCAGATGCTCTAGGCCAGTGGCCTTCTTCAGCTCAGCTCCAAAGTGCTACGTGCATTGAGGGAGATGCCAGGCCAACCAAGCTCTTCTGAGCATCAACCCAGGAGTTAAAATAAAGGCTCAGAGGCAAAAGAGTCCTTCTTTTCTCACCCTCCTCCACCAAAAACACACATTTGTAATGTTCATCAAAGAAAGGCAACACTGAGCCACTGGAACTCAACCAGCTTTCCCTTCCCGGGAGTTTTGCTAACGTTCTGTCACTGAGGAGACTTGGACAAAGAGCCTTCACTGGGCCTTGGGAATTGGAGGAACCAGGGGAGAAGCCACAGGGGGAAAAGGATGAGATTTCTATCACTGGGGGTGTTGACCACAAACGCTGGACCCACAGGCCACTCAGAAGTGGTGCTGTAAGTGGTGTAGTGAATGCTGGCTGGAAATTGGGTCGGTATAGTGCATTTTTAAGGCCTTTGGTTTTATTTTTCAGTAGTGAAGGCTTTCTGCAAACAAAAACTGACCCAAAGAAGCATTACGCGATAAGAGAGAGATTTCTGATTCTGTAAGGTCCTACCAGACCTGACCACCCTCTTGACAGAAATCACAAACTCTGGGTCCCTTTCCTCCCCCAAATCAATGACCTAAAGGCATTTAGGTTCACAGGGGGGTACTGGGGAGGGGAGGGATGGATTGTGAAAGAAAGGATGGCAACTGATAGGTTTCTTGTTTTCAGTGGCTTTTAGCTTAAGAGAAGGCCAAAGTCAGTGCCACAAAAGATGGCTGAAACTCAGGTCGAAAAGCCAGTCTCAGGGGCCTGAAGGATCAACCAGAGGGCCGAGGTCAGGGCCACCGACGTCCCTGGAAGGCGAGGAGAGGATCCCAGGAAAGAAGAAGAGAGGGAGAGGGAGCCCTGGATTCCAGCGCAAGCTCTGCCCCTGGCTCTGCCGATGCTAGGCCTGGCTAGGGCCTGTGTGCTTAGGGACGGTGCGGAGCAGCTCTGCTAGACTTAAAAGAACTGAAGGGATAACTGAGCTTTTTGCTCAGAGAGGGAGAGATTGCAGTTTCAGTTTGAGTCCAACCGAATTAGCTGCTGCTAAAGCAATAACACCAAAATTCAAAATCACCCAATATAGAAAGAATCAGGCAAGTATGATCCATCTCAAGAAAAAAGGACAGTGAATGGAAACCAATCCCAAGAGGACCCGGATGTCAGAATTAACAGATAAGCATTTTAAAAGATGTGGTGCAACTATACTCAGCGAAGTGAAGAAAAATATTTCATTGAAATGAATGAAAAAAATAGAAAAAAGGCAATGAAACAAACCAATGGAAATTCTAGCTAGAAAATAAAGATGCATTTTTCCAAAATGAAGAGCAACGCTAGGGAAGCACCAATGAGAGATGATAGAAGGCTCGGATGACCTCAGCAAGGTCATGAGAGGGTCCCCTGAGGTGAAGGGGTGGCCCGACAGACCCGTCACAGGACAAGGACAAACATGTGCAGTGGTGAGCCTCTGAGTGCACATACACACATCTAGACTGTTTCCCAGGGTGAGGAACCGTTTCTGCTTCATCTTGGAGTCTCCAGTACTTCGCCCTGCACTTAAATTGGCTTTTCATCACAGATTTGCATTCTAATCCTGGCTCTACCAGGAGTCACTTAACCCGTCTGAACTCAGTCTCAGCATCGTTAAAATGGGATCCCAGTGTCTGTCTGGCCTACAAATCTGGCAACTGGGAGCATCACATGTGAAATAGGACATATGTTCACTTTGTAAACTTCAAAAATCAATCAGTGTAAGAAATGATTATCCTTCCCCTCCCACTTCAGTGTAGCTTGCTTTTTGCTCACTCTCAATTATTTTCTTTTATTTTTTAAATTTTAAAAGTTTTTTTCTAATTTTTTTTCTTTTGGGGGGGCAGGGGTTAGGTTTATTTATTTATTTATTTTTAATAGAGGTACTGGGGATTGAACCCAGGACCTTGTACATGCTAAGCAGGCACTCTACCACTGAGCTATAACCTTCCTGCCCCGTTATTTTAAATTAAAATGGAATCTGTGTTCCTCTTCCCTCCCTAAACATTTAGCAATGTTTAGTTTTCCAGGGTGACACGGGACATGAGGGGCCTGTAAGGTACCTAGTCCCAGTGTTCAGAGCCGTAAATCAAATTTCACATTCACAGCCTTTTCCACAAGTATTGCTTCCTTCCCCTTGCGACGCATCTAATTCACTCTGCATCGTGACCCTGGCACATGGAGGCCCGACACTGGTACAGCGGCCCCAGTGGGAGGTGAGGCTACCCTTGAGGTCATGATGAATGTGTGGGAGCCGGAAGAAGAGAATGAATGGGTTCTGGCATTTTCAGACCCACAGAGATATGCATCCTCGAAAGTGCTGACCCACAGGAACCTTAAAATAATGCCCAACTCCCTGCTGCAGCGTTGGGAACCTGGTCAGATTAAGGACCCCCATCATGCACGGAGGGGAGAAAAGCACACGCGTACACACACGTGTTCACACAGTGGGGCGTCAAGACATTCCTGAGAGGAGTGACACCACTTGAAAACTACTGAACATTCATCGCTAAGCTCTCAGAGGCTATCACTTGATCTGAAAGGCTTGACTCTAGTTAGTACTTTGGAAACAAGTATTTGTTTTCCAAAATTTCCTCCCTGGCTAGGCCTTCTTGGGCAGTACGGTGTTTAAGGTCAGAAGCGCTATACCCACTGGAATAGGAAATTTTTCTAGGCTGAAGCCCAGGAAGAATGCATAATCCCATGGTTAAATATCATCGCCTAAGGTGTCACCTTTTCTTGCCACCACAGGTTTGGTATTTTGGCTTTTAAGAAATTAAAGAACAACAGTAAATTTTGTTTGTTTATTTAAATATATACCAGCATCAAAGAAAGGACAAAACCAATTCCAGGTGATTAAATGTATCTAACTAGCTCAAGCCCCTCAGGCTGAAATTTGAGTTTGGGTATCTTGCTTTTCCTCTGGTCCGAGCACAACTCATAGGTCAAGGAGAACGTGTACAAAAGGCTCTCGTAACTCATCTTCTGTGTTTTTATTGTTAAGCTGTGGTTTAAAAAAAATAAATAAAGCTCAGGTCCTAAAATTGGTTCTTACGCTTCCTGTTAAGTTTCACCTAACTTAGGTATCTCTAAATGGCTTTAGAGTAGTTCTGTTATTGAATATACCACATGGCTAATGAGTTTAAATGCGGACTAACTCTGGAGATTTTTAAAAATTAGTACGTCAGGCACAGTGCTTTTTCTGACATTGATGAGATCTGGTCTGGAAGCAGAGTGGTGACCAGATGGTCTTTCGAGGTCCCACGTGATCCTGGGATACATACCATGTCAGCGTCCCACCACTTGCCAGCCTTGTTTCTGACTCAGAGGTCTGCCCTAGAGGACTCATGCTTTTGGAGAATTAATAAACTGGAAGTCCTAGGACCTTGTCCACATTCACACACTCAGCAGGATAGTTGTACCCTGCACTTCGCCGTGAGTGAATCAGCATTAGGGGCTAAAGAGAAATAAAGAAGAGGATGGTGGGAAAATGACACATACCAACTCCATCAAGTGGAAAACAGTAGCGTTACTGGAATCCACTGCTTCAAATGCAAATGCTTGCCACGGAAAGAAATGTTCCTTAAAGAAATGGCTGGTTACAGATTGCAGGGTGGGGGAGGAAATACACCAGATGGGCCTTGAATGTCTTTAAAGAACATTAGGGTCAGGTCACAAACACTCTGAAGTCAATCCAAAGGGGCTCCCCATTGGCTGAAGATCACTAAAAGAACAATTATGGGAATGAATGGAAACACTAGAAACACGTCATAAATGCTAAGATCCACGAGTTCATAACGACGCTCAAAGGAAAGTAAAACTTTTTTGTCACCTTTAGAGGAAATGTAGGGTCTGAAAATCGGTAAATAAAGGAAGGATTCAAGCATTTATCTTGCCTTTTCTAGTACATATTTCAGGGAAACCAGTCAATGAGGGAAG